ACAGTAGGACCTTGTCATTAACAATGATAAACCTGGACAAAATATATGAAATAACTATTTTCAGGCATTGGAGGAGCTACTACAAATTACAACTATTCCTGAGAGAAGGGAAACAAAGGTGGTGAACCTTACGTTTACCCTGGATTTCCTGCTGGGGGCACTTTCCAACTAAAGCAGAGGAAAATGTGGGTCTCAAACAGAAAGCAGTGGGTTTGTTGGGCACAGCAAACAGATACTGGAGTTCAGGAAAGCTGAGGTGGCTGGAATTACTGTCAGAGAAGAGGGAGCTCAAGAAATGTGTGTAAGGGGCCCCCTTGGCACAGAGGAGGATGGACAGGGAGGAGCTCCAGAACCCTGGGATTCTCCCCCAGCTGGTGAGGGGCTGTGAGCTGAGGGCGTTTGGGAGAGCTCCCAGTGCTGAGAGACACTGGGGGTTCGGGGAGCTAGAGAAGAGAGCTCACTGAACGTCCTGGGCATTCAGCTGCGACCCCAGCAGGGCTAAGCTGCAAGACTCTAGTCTGTTAAGAAGGGCTGCTTTAGAACCACCCTGACAGATCTTAGAAACAAGCCTCAAGGGGAGATAAGCTAACCTGCCAGCAAACCAACTGCCTGCTAGAATAAAATTCAACACTCTTTAAAGGAAGACAGCAAATTTCAGACTCTCAGTGATGCAGTATTCCTAAGCCTCAGCACACAATAAAAAATTACTAGACAAGGGAAGAAGCAGGAAAATGTTATCCATAACCAGGAGTGAAATGTCCACAGAAGCAGACTGAGAGGTGAGGCAGATGCTGAAATTAGCAGACAAGGACTTTAGAAAAGCTATTATAAATATGTTCAAGATTAACCAATCAACCGACCAACCAACCAAACTAACCACGATGTATATGATGAGCGACTAGTTGGGGACTCTTAGCAAAGAGAAATGGACACTATAAAAACAAAGCAAATGGAAACTCTGCATCTGAAAAATACAATATCTGAAGTGAAAAAAAAAATTCAAAAAACACTGGATGAGCTTAACAACAAATCGCGTACCACAAGAGAAAAGATCAGGGAGCGTGAAGACTCTCCAAAGTGAAATAGAGAGAGAGAAAAAAAAGAGAGGTCAAAACAAAATAAAACAAACAAAGCAACAACTGTAGAAAGCACCAGAGCCGCAGTGCTCTGTGGAACAGTATCAAGCAGTCTAACATACATGTACTTGAATTCTCAGAAGAAGATGAGAGTTTGGGGCAAAAAAACATAAAAAATAATGGCCAAAATATTTCAAAATTTGATCAAAAATACAAGCTCAAAAGATTCAAGAATCTCAATAAACCCCAAGCAGGATAAACATAAAGGAAACCACATCTAGGTATGGTAATCAAATTGCTAAAGGAAAAAAAGAACAGCCAAGGTAAAAA